CGCATGGCCTGTCTGAGCAACACTTCACATCATATGAAGATACCAAAAATTGGGTCGATTCGTGGATAGCTTCAAAAGATGAAGCGTTTTTCCGACGCGGTATCCGTATGCTGCCAGAAAGATGGGAAAAAGTAGTGGCTAGCGATGGACAATACTTCGAATAAAACATTAGGTACCGTTCTTTCACAATAAACGCCCAATTTTTGATAAAAAACGGCGGAAACTTATTTATACTCCTAATATTATATGTAACATGTTACATTTATATATTTTATATTATTTATATTTATTAAAAAACGATTTTAATATAGTAATATTTTATTATATTTTATATACTGTTTATACTACTATTTATTTTGTTTTGTAACGCTTCTTATTCTGTCACCTGAGTTACGGAACCATTCTTTGATCGCTTCTTCTATTTCGGCAGACTTCTATTTCGAACCTGGTAACTGTTTCATCACCGAGTCTGAAATATGTACAATTAAAATAATTGCATTAATAAAAATAAAAATATAAAATAATACTTTAATCAATTAAATATAAGACAATAGATTTGTTCTGATTGATTACATTTTTTCTGATTGCACTTTACAAAATGCAAATTTTTTTTAAATAATCAATGAGAACTTGCATATTTTATTAAGTGTAAAAGTATGAGTAGAGCACTATAGTATAGGTATTCGCATCCGCCATTTAATCCTTTCCCCTCTTTGTTCTCTCTTTAACCTTCAACTTTCTCTCTTTCTCTTCTCAGCTCAGCGGCGGAGTGGAGAGAGAGTGAGGGATTGGGAAAAGGAACAAGAGAGCGACGAAAGGTCTAAAAATAGCGGATGCGAATACTCTGCATATTATAGTGCCTTAGTATAGGCAACCAAGCTATACATTCCAAAATTATCTGTTAGCACTGACGAGGTATTAAGACGGCTAGAATGTATTAGTTGGACATTTATCTGATATTAGAAACAGTAGATGTCTTACAATCTAATTTTGAATATAATTTTCGCATTTATGTAATTCACACTTGTTAAAATTATGTGTAAGCTGTAGGGACCTTTATATTATACTTTGATATGTAGTACTATGTTTAGCTCGGTATTTTTAAATAACATTTATAATGAATTTCATGGATGCCACGAAGGTTGCGTGCAAAAGACTATGTTTCCAATCTCACAAAAATGTTTTAAACCGTGCTGTATGGAAAAGTAAATATAATCGAATAAATGTGACCGATTATTAGTTTGGATGTGGATTTAAAGCTTACATCACTCTTCTGGCCTGTCCATAATATTTGAATGGCTACTTCATTAGAGATAATTTGTGATAGAGTATTTCTAATACGCGTAAACTGCTTATCTGTCGAACCTCCGATTCGACATATCATATGTTCCTGTAATATAGCTACAAAAAATATACACAAATGGAATACAAATAGAAGAAATGTATATACGACAGCGAAAATGAAATACACGTGTTTGAAAACATGTTCAGTCATCGATGATTAATTTGATATCGACTATCATACATCTTCTTATGTAGCAATTTTGCCACTTTTCTTTATTTGCATTATGTCATATCATACTTTAATATTATATCAATAATGCTCAGTATAAAATTACTATTAAATTTATTGATTTAACATATGAATAAAAAAAGTTCTTGATGACGTGAGAAATTAAATATGAAGAAATTCAAAGGTTATAAGATGGCGAGTAAATTTCTGAGAAAACACAATTTTCCTAACAGACAATAGCATTTAAAGTAATATTTAATAAATATGACAATGAATATACTTACAAAAAATATGACATATGAATATACTTACAAATTGTTTTCTCATATTGGTATTCACGTCCAATTGATTTTCGCACTACAAAAACTGTTTAAGCGTCATTAGAGGCAATGGAGGTAATAGATCTTGTGCTACAACCTCGCTTCGTCCTGCATTCCCCTCTTTTAGTAGATTCGATAGCGTACATTGGTCTGGACAATCTTTTCAGTTCTTTATGGATATAATCTCTGCATTCGCCTGTAATGATATGAAGAAATTGTAACATAAAAACTAAATTAACATTAATAACTATTAATATTTTAATAAAGTCAAATCTGTCTATTATCATAATAACCATTACCAATATTGGTTATTGTTTTTTATTATTTATTATTATAGGAACAGGAAAGTGAGTTTGTGATATGCATTTATTTGAAATAATTTTTATTTATTTTTATGTATTTTTGTTTAAAAATACTATATAATATAAAATATAAATATTTATAACATAAAAATATAATATTAATAAAGAGACATTAAAGAGACGAATTATTAACAAATCACTAATGTTCCTCTGTAAGAGATTATTTGCTTACCATAGCAATTATTATGATTCCTTGAGGGTTCTTTTTCTATACCATCGAACCGTAGTAAATTACAAGTAAGTCTGAAAATCAAATATTTTATTAATATGTATGCTACATATTAGAAAGATCCAACCCAATTGTGCTGTTAATCAGAATTCTTGTGCATTAAGATCATATTTGAGATAAATGAAGATAGAACGATGTCATTCGTAACAAATTTAAACGTTGTAAACCTTGGATGATCAAAGGAAGAATAAAAAAAAACTAAGTTTATATATGCATCTATCATAATTTTCTCCATATATTTCATTGTTAAGAAATTGTTATTAACTATTATTTTAAATCGACTTATGTTTTATACTGATGATGATCATACGGATGCTGGTCGAAACGTCTGTGAGAGCAATTGTTAACAAATTCGAATCGAGATATTTCGCAATAATGACAACGTATGGCTTTAATGCTCTTTGTTTATTATTGTTTATATTATTTTGTAGCTTAAAAGTGTAAATAGTAGTCTTTTCCTTTTCTAGTATTATATTATAGAATAAAATGTTTATTATTAATAAATTAGTATGTTGTGAAACCGAATCTTATAAAGTCGTAGAAGTTAATATAATTTTATTAGTTTTCTTTTTAAAAGCATAAATCAACATAAATGTATGCTCACCGCTAATTAGCTCATTTATAATAGAACAGACTTATCCAATGAAGCTCGAGTACATTCAATTTGTGGTCCAATTTATATTCTCAAAAGAGAAACACTCCTTAAGAGGATTTGTCTCAGCTTCTTCAAGTACATAAATCTAGTAAGTATAAACTTGGACAAACTTCTAGCAAGTTTTAATAAATATATAAATATATATATTTAAT